AGTGTTTGGAATAATGCAGATATATAAACAGAATTACATATAAGAGAAGAGGAAGGGAATGACGTACCTGTAATTTGAGTATTGACACCATTTGTGTGTTAGTTTAGGTAGAAGGCTAGGATAGTGTGTTAGTTTATTCATTTATATTAATATTGCGCTCCTTCCTAGTTCAATACGGCAACGGACAGGGACAACCATAAAAAAGAGAGGCTCATTCTAGTCCTCCACCCTCGCGTTAACTACCAAACTCAGCATATCTACCTCTGTAGCTTTCATTCCACCTTCCAATTGATTTTCTATATATTTGGACTGTGTCTTTAATCCCGCTTGAATCTTCACAGCTCTTATTATGTTTTATGGGAGGAAAATGTTATGGAACATTTCCAACTGCACAAAACTCTTATTACCTTCAACTTTTTATTGCCTTCAAATTTTGCGATAAAGCTAAAGAAAGAAACTACTTCAACCTGGGATAATATCTTCAAATTTTGACGACGCTTGAATATACCCATTTTTTATGCGGCAAAAAACAAAGGCTTTTTTTCCTCATATTTTTATTGTCTTCAAATTTTGACGATCGAAAACACTGATTTTTTTTTTGGTTGAAAAACAAGGGATAAAACACATAACTTTTATTGTCTTCATATTTCGCAAGCAAGCTAAATAAATGAGCTATTCAATGTTTTATAATATCTTATTATTTTGAAGACAGCCCCGAAAATCCTGGTTTTTTTTTTTTTTTTTTGTTCTTTCGAAAATCAATATCTTATGTTATCAAATTTAGTGATTTTAGGCTGGCTTGTTTCCAACAACACATAATTCATACTGCCTTGAAATTTTGTGAGAAAGTTAAAGAAAGTGGCTACTTCAATGTGGGATAATATCTTCGAATTCTGACAATGGCTGAAAATAAGGATTTTTTTGCACGGAAAAGGAAAAGGTATTATCTTCAAATTGCACGATTTTAGGGAGCCCCTTTTCCACCCATACGTAAATCTTATTGTCTTCAAATATTGATCAGAACTTGTTCATCATCTTTGTCTCTTTATTTTGGAAATTTAGAGTAACCCTGCAACAAAACAAGAAATGCAAAGCACACAAATGGCTTCCCCAGAAACAGCTATTTCCCTCATTTTGCTTCACTCAATTTTCAGGCCACCATCAGATGCCAAATATATTATAATTTTATACCACGCAATGTTCTATAACAAATTTCCTACAAATTTAATTATAAGCTTATTATAAGAACCTAAAATTATTATTTAAGGTCTAATACCTATCATCATAATTAAGAAATAAATATAAAGCTATAGTAATGGCCAACGTGGCCACAGGCAACACGGTGGAGATCCAACTGAAGCTGAAACCATTGTAGGGCTGCTTGGGATCACCAAGAGGCATTATGTTACCACCTGCAGCATCGTCTTCTGTCTTGTCCCTCTTGCTTCTCTCTCCACCACATCTTTCTTTCTCTACCAGTAATTTGAGCTCGTTAACTGTTCTTTGAAGCTCTTTGATGTACTCAGTAGCATCTCTCACAATTGAGACTCTATCGAACTTTGTTATATGTGTAAAATTGTTATATTAGCAGCTGGTATGATATAATATAAACATTACAATGAAATTAAAAAGAAGCAGAAACGTGTACCTTGGTAGGGCTAGGAACCAAATTCCTAAAGGCCGTGTACTTATTATTCAACTGTTCTCTCCTTTGTCGCTCCGCAGCAAAAGTTCTTATTGCTGTTTTCCACAGTTTGGGGAAACCCAGAATCTGCGCCCTCTGCCATGGAGTCTAATCTCTGCATGAGAAAAACAATACATGTAAGCAGAATAAATTTCACAAAAAGTAACTACAGGTTATGGATAAAACTTTAACCTTAGAAAATTGAAATAAGTAGTACTGGAAGCACAGAATTGTACGAGATCCTCCTATCAAACTGAAATGTTGCAAGAGCTAGTCTTAAAAGGAAAGAATGAATGTCTTTTCTCTCACTGTTATAGAGAAGGAGTGTTCGGAATATTAATGCAAAAGACATATGAACAGAATTACATATAAGAAAAGAGGAAGGGAATGGCATACTTGTAATTTAAGTATTCACACCATTTGTGCCAAAGTGTGTTGGTTTAGGTCACCCTACCAGTGTGTGTAAAGTGTGAACCCCACCATCTCCATGCAAACCGCCCTCTCAAACTAACTATCATAACCGTTTAGCCTTCAACAACCACAAAGATCACCAAGTGTAAGAATCGTATTAATTTTTAATTTTTTTTTTTTTTTAAACTTTTGCTTATAATTGAGTCATACAAATAGACAAAAATAAGATAAAATTCATGTAAAATAACTACTTTATCATTTATTTTTTGTCTGTTTGTATGACTTAGTTATAAGTATAACATTTTTTTTTAGTGTTCAGATAAGTTTGCACATCCCTTAATAAATCTCCGAGGGCCTAGAACTTCACATCTAGTAATTAACCAGTTAGGAAAACAAGATATGAGAACACATTAAAACCTAATTCTCCATGAAAGAAGGCAGTTTCCTCCACCAATCACTTTTCACAACATAAAACACCAACACAGATATCTAGATGTATACTAACTAATATTACATCAAGTTACCGTTTATATCTTTTTGCTCGATAGTCTTCTCATAAGACATATTGGTCCAATCTTTCTTTTTGCCACAGTAAAATTATAGTAGAGACAGATAAAGATAACCGTTATACGATATTTTTGTACTTACTACTTAGTCGGAATTCGAAGATATTAGCCCACATTAAAGTAACTATTTTCTTTACCTTGCTTCCAAAATTTAAAGAAAAGGGGAACGAGAGTAGGAAAAGGAATGGAAATTGAAATTAGAATGGACATGGTAATACCAATGGAAATGGGAATCCAAATGGTATTGAGAATGGGATGGGAAGTGAATAGTAATCGAATTGGGAATTTAATCAGGAATGGAATGGCATTGGGAATCAGGAATGGGACTACGAAAGGCATTGGGAATGGGAATCCAAATGGTCTTGAGAACGGAATGGGAATGGTATTGGGAAATGGAAATGGGAATCCGAATTGGAATGAGAATAGAAAAGGTATTGGGAATCCAAATGGTAATGAGAATGGAAAGGGGAATCGACATTGCAATGAGAATGGGAATATGAAAGGTACAGGGAATGGGAATCCAAATGATATTGAGAATGGAAATGGAAATGGGCAAATAAATGGACATTGGAATGGGGATGGAAATAGGAAAGGAATTGGCAATAGGAATAACAGAATATAAAAGGTTGTGGGAATGGGAATGGGAATGGGAACTGAAACGGTGATGGAATTGCGAATAAGAATGGTATTGTAAACGGAAGTAGGAAGAGGAAAGCGAATGGCAGTAAGAATGGGAAGGGGAATGCTAATGACAATGACAAAGGCAATGGGAAAAACGATATTTTCGTTCTTAGTTAGAGTTTGGAGTTATTGTCCTACATTAAAGTAGCCACTTTCTTTACTTTGATTGCAAAATTCAAAGACAATGGGAATGGGAATAGGAAATGGAATGGGAATGGGAGTAGAAAAAGGAAATAGGAATTGGAATTAGATTATTAGAATGGACATGGTAACACCAATGGGAATGGTAAAAAAAAAATTCTTTATTTAAAACTAAAATATTGATTTAATAATGTTATATCAGACTCGACTCCTAAAATTACTATAAACTCGCATAAGTCTCATCTATCTAACAATGAGTCTCGCCTGACTAAACTAATTACAAACTGTCATATGATGTTAGTGAGAAGTGTCAGTGAAACTAATATTATTGAATTACTATAGGCTAGGCAAAAAAAAAAAAAAAAAAAAAAAATCAATATTGAAACTCAACCTTTTAAAGGGCAATTACTAGGGCTGTTCAATGAGGTGAGCCGCTCACGAGCCGACTCAGCTCGACTCGAGTACGGCTCGTTAATGACTCGCCTCGTTTGAAATCAAGCCGACTTGGCTCGATTCGTGAGAGAACACGAGCCGAGTTCGAGCCTGCCTAACAAGTCGAGTCAGGCTCGAATTATTAGGGACGTTTTAGGGGTTTCATTAAGTATAAGAGATTAAACTAAAATTTTTAAAATAAAAAATTTATAAAAATGACAAAGAACACCCTATGTTAAAATCTCTAAAAACGTGACTAAAATCCTTTCTCTTAAAACTAAACTAAACCAAATCATTTTAGGTAGTTGGCGTCAGATTTGGTGGAGAGTGCAGAGAACAAGGAGAAAAAAGGAGGAAAGAAATCAGAGTTGGTGGAGACCAAAGAGTGCCAGGGAAACAAGGAGAAAGAATGAAAGAAAGAAAGAAAAAATAAGAAAAAAGGAGAAAAAAAAAAAGGAAAGAAAGAGAAAATAGGAGAAACAGACGTCATGAGAGAGAGAGAGAGAGAGAGAAAGAGAAAAAGAGAAATCAAAGAGTAATAAGAAGAGGACGAGAGGAGATGGGAGAGAGCAAGGGAAACAGGGAGAAAGGAGAAAAAACAAAAGAAGAGAAAAACCTGAACCATTGCGTTGAGTCTGGAGAGAGAAAAGAAGGCAAATCAATAATTTTAGAGGAAAGAAGTGAAAGAGAGTAATAAATGAGAGAGAGAGAAAAGAAAGAATAATAAATGAGGGATATGAAAAGCTGTACCAAATTTTGAAAAAACAATTGTTTACTTGGTTCGCGAGCCGATTTGTTAAGTTGCCCAAATTTTTGTAAAAAAAATTAAATAAAAAAATAAACAAAATTATTTGGAGATGGCTCGCGAGTCGGCTCGAAATCGGCTCGAGAGTCAGCTTAAAACATACTAAATTCATTATCAAACCGAACTGAGCCATATAATTTTTGACTCGGTTCGATTCATTTACTCTTTCTCTCTCACGAGCCGAATTCGGTAAATCGAAAACTCGGCTCGGCTCGATAATCCTTAGCAATTACCATGTAGAACACCAGGTGAACAAACTTTTTTACAACGTTACAAAGAACCCTATCACGTGTCGGTGTCGCTATCCTCAGAATCCCCAACTCAAGCTACGTCTGCACTCTTTCTTCTCCCCTGCCAAACGAGTGAAAAAACGAAGTACAAAGATCGATATTCGCCAGCCGCCGACGGTTACATATACGAAACGACGTAGTTTAAAGTAAATGAAAGAAATGAACGAATTTGAAGTAGCCGAACTTGAAGAAAAGGAAGAAGCGGACGACGAAGATTTTGAGAATGAAAATGAAAACGACGACGGCGAAGAAGAAGAAGGAGAAGACGAAGAGTATGTTTTCAGGTTCAACAGCGGAGTGAATCCGTTGGATTTGACGGAAAATAATTCGTCCGGTCTCCAAACTTACCAGCAATTCGAACGGCTCGAGTACGAAGCCCTAGCCGAACGCAAGCGCAAACGAAAACGCCATGATGAGACTAATACTACTACTCAGAGGTGTTAATAATTTTGATTTTTCATCAATAATTTGAAGTGATTGATTTTTTTTTTTTTTTTTTTGATGAGATTGATTGAAAATTGATTGTAGTGAAGACAATGTAGGCGGAATGAGTATGGATGAGTTCATGGAAACCTTCAATTTCGGTTGTTTTCGAAGAAAATCAAGAAAGGTATTATTCTCTTTTTTTTTTTTTTTTAATTGAAAGTTAAATGAGGTTTGACTGAATTACAATTAAAGTTGAAGGATGTTTTAGAATAATTCTATGAATCACAAGTCTTGTATTGAATTTCTTGTTCCTAGTGATTTGTATTTGAGTGGTAGTTGATAATACATAGGATAAAAGATTGCTTCAAACACACAACTGGAAAATTGAGAGGCTGTTCACAAAAAATGTAAAGCAAACCTTCAAGGAGGTTAATGGAATAATTCCAAATAAATAAGTGTATTTATTTGTTAATCTTTCATTTTTGCAGCTCAATAAGAAAAGAGGTAGGAGAAAAGGTTCAAAGAATAAACATAGTCCTGAAGTTACAAAATTGCTTGGTGAAGCTACTCTTCACTATGCTCATGGTCGTTTTGAGCAGGTACGTTTATGATAGCTCTGTGATTTTTCTTGTTTTTTATTGATTTCAAGAAGGTGTTTGCTTTTCTTAGATTAATTTTGCATTTTTAGGCTGTATCTGCGTTGAATAAAGTTATTTTACTGGCTCCTAATTTGCCTGATTCGTACCATACGCTTGGACTTATTCATGACACTCTCGGTGACAAAAATAAAGCCTGTCATTTCTACGTTGTTGCTGCAATTCTTTCACCGAAAGATTCATCTTTGTGGAAAGAACTTCTTGTTTGGTCTTTGTAAGTATTCTCATGTTCATTCACATTATTCTAATAAGTACATGTACATCTAGCACCTTTATGATTGTAATCAAGAATTGTTGACTCATACTGAAATGCAGAGAAAAGGGAAACACAGGTCTAGCCAGGTATTGCCTTGATAAAGCAATAAAAGCAGATCCTAAAGATATTAGTCTAAGATTTTATATCGCTTCATTTTATGTTGAGCTTGGAGATTTTGAGAGAGCTGCCGAGTCATATGAACAAATACACAAACTGTGTCCTGATGATATTGAAGCTCTCAAAACAGGGGCAAAGGTTTTACTTTCATCTTGTTTACTAAATGCCTTCTTTGATTCAGTAGTAGTATTTTAATTTGTTTCTAAAGCTACCTGAGATGCATATCTAAATTGGTGATGGATTTGTCAATTTCTCTTTTTTGTCTTTTTTTTTTNTGTAAGTTAAATGAGGTTTGACTGAATTACAATTAAAGTTGAAGGATGTTTTAGAATAATTCTATGAATCACAAGTCTTGTATTGAATTTCTTGTTCCTAGTGATTTGTATTTGAGTGGTAGTTGATAATACATAGGATAAAAGATTGCTTCAAATACACAACTGGAAAATTGAGAGGCTGTTCACAAAAATGTAAAGCGAACCTTCAAGGAGGTTAATCGAATAATTCCAAATAAATAAGTGTATTTATTTGTTAATCTTTCATTTTTGCAGCTCAATAAGAAAAGAGGTAGGAGAAAAGGTTCAAAGAATAAACATAGTCCTGAAGTTACAAAATTGCTTGGTGAAGCTACTCTTCACTATGCTCATGGTCGTTTTGAGCAGGTACGTTTATGATAGCTCTGTGATTTTTCTTGTTTTTTATTGATTTCAAGAAGGTGTTTGCTTTTCTTAGATTAATTTTGCATTTTTAGGCTGTATCTGCGTTGAATAAAGTTATTTTACTGGCTCCTAATTTGCCTGATTCGTACCATACGCTTGGACTTATTCATGACACTCTCGGTGACAAAAATAAAGCCTGTCATTTCTACGTTGTTGCTGCAATTCTTTCACCGAAAGATTCATCTTTGTGGAAAGAACTTCTTGTTTGGTCTTTGTAAGTATTCTCATGTTCATTCACATTATTCTAATAAGTACATGTACATCTAGCACCTTTATGATTGTAATCAAGAATTGTTGACTCATACTGAAATGCAGAGAAAAGGGAAACACAGGTCTAGCCAGGTATTGCCTTGATAAAGCAATAAAAGCAGATCCTAAAGATATTAGTCTAAGATTTTATATCGCTTCATTTTATGTTGAGCTTGGAGATTTTGAGAGAGCTGCCGAGTCATATGAACAAATACACAAACTGTGTCCTGATGATATTGAAGCTCTCAAAACAGGGGCAAAGGTTTTACTTTCATCTTGTTTACTAAATGCCTTCTTTGATTCAGTAGTAGTATTGTAATTTGTTTCTAAAGCTACCTGAGATACATATCTAAATTGTTGATGGATTTGTCAATTTCTCTTTTTTGTCTTTTTTTTTTTTTCTAGGAAACAAAATTTGTATTAGGAAAATGAAAATACAAAATAAAAGACTAGTTTACCAACCAAATAAATAAATAAATAAATTAAAAGAAAAAAAAAGCAAGCTGTCCTAAAGCCCATAAAGGATTCAAAAACTACACAAGAGAACAGTCAGCTCAAATCTATCAAATGAAACCCTAGCCTTGAATTTATACATGATGTTGTACAATAACAGAATTCTAATCTTAGGGATGTCTTGTAAGGAACCACAGTTATTTTGATAGAATCTTTGGTTTATTTAGTTTCTCTGTTTGCATTCATTGGTAAGAGCGTATTTTTAGAATTTTTGGGCAAAACATGGGTGTTGCTAACCGAACTAATTGTTTTTTGTGTTCCATATGTCTTGAGAAATTTAATTTGTTCTTCTGTTTGCAGTTGTACATTAAATGTGGTAAGATTGAACGATCTGTTGGCATTTTGGAGGACTATCTCAAGGATCATCCTTCTGAAGTTGATTTGAGTGTGATTGATCAGCTGGTTGACATACTCATGAGTTCTAATGCACATGATAAAGCTCTGCAACATATTGAGCATGCACACATGGTCTATTTTTCAGGGAAAGAAGTGCCTCTAAATTTAAAAATTAAAGCAGGAATCTGCCACATTCAGCTTGGAAATATGGAGCATGCTGAGGTCTGTTGCATTTATATTCAAATGAAAAATAGCTATTGTAGCTGTCAGTAGTGGTGATGTAGATATAGGTTGTTGAAAACGAAGTCATATTGGTAATAGTGGTGGTGGTGGTTGATGAGGGAAGCCACAATGCTGTGGTGGTGTAAGTGACTATTTATTGGTCTATGGGGGTGATGAGTTATTGTAATAGTACAAAAGTTTTTTCTTAGGAATATTTGGGTTCATTTCTGAAACAGGGTGATGCTAATCTTCTAGTCATTTCAATTTGTTAATATCTCTTTGGATTTCTTTCTCAGATGATATAAATACACGAGTTAGAGTGATGTGTAGATCTGCAGACTTGGTTAAAGTTTCCTATTCTAAGTGATGTTTCATCTTTTGTGTTATTACCATATCAACTTCTACGTCAAGTTATTATCTATATGTGAACGCCTAATATCAGTATACATCACTTGGGATGAGAAATTTGAGATAAGACTTGGAATATGTGGCATTGTTCTTTAACTAATCATCACCTTTTTCTGAATACTCTCTCACATGATGTCTAGAATCTTTTCGGACTTTTGCGACGGGAGAATGCATGTGATCTTACTGATCTGATTACTGAAGTTGCTGACTCATTTATGCGTCTTGAGCATTATAACTCTGCATTGAAGTATTATCATATCTTGGAGGCAAATGGTGGCAGTGACAATGTAAGGGAAACTGTGAATTTTTTTTTTTCTTTCAATTTCCTTCTTAACAACTAGAAAATAAGAAAGAGAATATTTGCACTTATATGGTATATATTTCTCTTTGTTTTCTGTTTATTTGCTTAGATTTGATTGTTAAACTTTTATGTTAGACTACATTATCCAGTGATTGGACCTAGAGCTCCAACACCATGAGGGCCACTTGTTATCCTTGTTGGTTAATGTGGTTATCTAGTATTGTGTACTGAATTGTCTCTTTTAATGTAAATACACTTTGGAGGGAAGCTGTAAGTTAATGTGGTTTTACTCTATGGTTTTTATTCTTTAGGAAGCCTTAGGTTTGGCATGATACATAGATTGATAATTTAATGCATACATTAAGTAATGCTTTTGGTCATTTTGCCGCTCAAATTTTTCAGTTAGGTTGGGTTGTACACATGACTATACCTTTTCAATTTTATGCTTAAACAAATAAATACCCTCTCTTCCCCACATTTAAACCCATTCTGGAGACGAACAAACCTGAAGAAAACAATAACAGAGCATATTGAATTTTCTTTTCAATTTCACTCTTGTGATACAATTTTTATTTCCTCTACTGTAACTTAAACAGTCGAAAATCATGTAGTAGAAAAACTAATATGAAACTCTTATATATTTGTTTCTTTGTTTTACGATGAGAAGCAAAACGTATATTAGAACGAAGAAGATATAGAAAGTGAAGTGGTGGTCCTTAGGGAGATCAAAAAATAATCTCTGTGTAGAAAACCAAATTTTAAGCAATATTAAATTGCTAACTTTGAAATGCATGTTTGTCCATGCAAAGCCCTATTATTCTTTTGTTCCCTTGTTCATTTGTGGTTTTCTTGCTATTTGAATCTGTTCATTCTCCTTGATATATGTGGTGTGTTTTAAACAAAAATTCATGCATTGATTTAACAGTTGGTTGCTGACTTCTGTTGCCATTTTGTCTAACAGGGCTATTTACATCTTAAAATTGCTGAGTGTTACTTGTGCTTAAAAGAAAAAGGACAAGCGATTATTTACTTCCACAAAGGTGATGTGTACTCATGAAAATCAATAGTTCTGATGAAATTAGATTTCAGATGCATAACTTTGGAACTAACAGAATGTAGAAAACATTACCATTCTTCATAGGATCATAGCATTCTTGTTTAGAGAGGGAATGTGTTATCCAAATGGATAATATCAATGTGTGTGTATCATCTGCACATATGTTCTTCTCTATGAAATAAGTACTAATTCATGACAATATAACCTTGTCTGTTTTGTTAATAAATCAGTCCACTTTTTTAGACTAAGTGGGATAGATAGTCAATGTATTATATGCATCACTAGTATATTGGTCAATGTATTATATGCATCACTAGTATATTGGATGTTTGATCAGCCTGATGTTGGTGCAAAGGAATCATACAACACTTGGCTAACTCATGATGATGTCTTTTTATCCATTTTCATGCTTTATATGGTTAAAATAGTTATTATCTTGTTCAGAAAAATCTAATCTAGAATGTTCATCTACCTGTTCTTTAGTAGGCCTGAGATCCAGATCATCTGGGGTCTTATTTAAAATAATGCAACTGGTCCTGGCTAGCAGCATTCCTGGTGGTATTGTTCTTTGTTGCATAATGTACTATATCTTCAACACTGAGGGCTGGTCCCTTCAATTATTCAATAATTCTTTCCCTCGTTGCAATTTTATTGTTGTTCTCAGGTTGCTTTAATAGAGTTTTGTACATGAGATGCAGATATTGAACAATTCATTTAAATTTATACCATTAGAAAGGCCTATTTAATGTGCAAAAAGTTAATGTTTCAGGTTTGCTACATTTGGTTTTATTCTTTTTATTCTTGGTTATGACCCCTGTGGGAGTCTAATTTTATATGCTAATACTGACAGGCATCTTGAATTTGATCTATGTAGGAATTTTCCTTTTCTTTTTAGTGAAAGTTTCTCATAGACCACAGCTGAATCACATACATTAAATTGATTTTAGGTGACTAATACTATGCTACCACAATGTAAATTGTGCCTTGGAGTTCAATGAACAGTTTTATGTACTTTATGCTCTCATGCATTACAGTTTTAGGTGGATTCATTCTTTAGATGATGTTATTGAACTACTGCATATTCATTATCTTCAGAATTGTAGTTCTTGACACTTTCATGACAGGGAATTATCTGCATACTTGGCAAATAGATTTGAGATGATACTGTATATGTTACAGATGCTGCTGTTTTGGGAGTGTTCATTGACCTGTGATTTTAATGAATGAATTCTTTGCATCTCCTAATTTCTTCTAGTAAGTTATCTCTGGTCTTTTGGCTGATTAGACTATCTGTTCAGCTGTGCATATGCTTGAGGATAACACTGATGCTCGGTTAAGTTTGGCTTCTCTCTTGCTTGAAGATGGTAAAGAAGATGAGGCCATTGCTTTGCTATCCCCTCCAAAATTGTTAGGTATCTTTGTTTTTCTTATATATGTATATATTTCAACCCCTTGTATTGAATTATATACATGTAAAATGTGTAGCTTTTTTCTTATTGGTTGTCTTGTGGCATGTATCCAGATTCTGTTGATCAAAATTCTGATAAATCTAATCCATGGTGGCTTACTGAAAAAATAATAATGAAGCTTTGCCACATTTATAGAGCTAAAGGAATGCCCAAAGACTTCATTGCTACAATCTTTCCCTTGGTTCATGAATCACTTTCTGTAGAAGCTCTAAGGCAAAAGGTCAGTTAGGCAAAAGTTCACTTTCAGCTGCCTTTCATTTGATTGAGCATATCCAATCTACGGTTACCTCTTTTGATAGTTCTGAATATCTTGTGACCATTATTATTAGTTAATCTTGTCTTTCATTAGCTTATTTTTTTTATTTTGATAATTGGTTCTTAATTTAGGTTAAGGTAAAAAAGAGGCTACCAGCAAGCGTTGTCCATGAAAGGGCCAAAGTACTCGATACTCCACAAACTGATAACATACTGTGTGGAATCAGACCAGTAGCTCCTAAATCAGATCTGTGAGTAGTAAATCTTAATATGTTGTGTATTGTATTAAAATGGGCTGTATTCAGCTATTTCGGTGGTTTTGACTACAAATGTTTTATTTATTTATTTAATATGCTAACCTTATAGATCATTTTTAGCATACATCATTAAAATATTTGTACAAAGACAATGGCTCTCTCTTTAACTTTTTAGTGATCATCTATGTTATATCTTGTGTCTTAATACCCTCAGGTTTCTAGTTATTGGCATAAAGACTAACTTCAATAGCATTCTTGTATTGAGGTTTAGTGGGCAGTTATTATTATTATTACTATTTTATTTTATCAGAAATCATCTTTATAATAGGAACCAAAATAGTATATAAATTGAAAGAGAGAAGTACAAAAGTGGATTGGATATCCACTACGGTGCAGATCAGCTTCTCTGGAGGGAGGCAAAAACTGTACAAAATATATATCCAGAAATGTTGTATCAGCTGTGTAGATTTTTTTGTGATCCTTTAAATGGATCCTAACTTTTGTGGGCAACTTGTTTACTCTTCTGTAATTATCTTTCCAATCAATGATATTGACATTGTTTCTTCTAATAAAAACAAATAGTGAAACTCATTGAGGATTAGCCAATTGTTACATCTCAACAAGAGTCAAGAGCGAGAGGTTAATTGATTTTTTTATTAGTTGCCAATTTTTATCTACATCGGAGTTCTATCGTGAACTGTCAACTCTTCACTGTTAATTACAATAATATGTGGTCACTCATCCATTAATATGTGAGTTGTACGCTTCCTGTTTCCACGTTGTATCGTTGGTAGAAGATTGTCAGCTGATTCATGGTTGATGCTTTGAATAAGGTTGAAAGCTTCTAGAGCGAAGAAGTTGCTTCAGAAGAGGGCAATTTTGAAGGAAGAAAAGAAAGCTTTGGCAATGGCTGCTGGAGTTGAATGGCATAGCGATGATTCAGATGATGATTCTCCGGTAACTTATGATTGATTATGTTGTGCCTTACCTTAAGTACACAAATTTTCCAACTGTGCAACATTTGGACCTGACAAACTGGTTATTATATGATTCTGGGATTTCTTCAGCAAGAAGTTGTTAGAGAGCCTCCCCTGTCTAATCTCTTAAAAGATGAAGAGCATCAATGTGTCATCATAGATGTTAGTATATCTGTGTCCTTTATTTCAATTCCTTGTGGTTAATCTTTCTTTTTTCTTATTTTGTTTTCAGTTCTTATTCTGCACGTATCCTTCCTTGATGTATGAGAGTATTTACTTTTTTAACTCTTCTTCTTACTGAGTGCCTCACCTTTTCATGGCATTTTTACAGCTATATGCACTTTCCCAATCTTTTGATTCTTCTGACTCATTAATCTTGTGGTTAATAGTTATGTAAGGCATTGGCAGCTCTGCGAAGATACGAGGAAGCATCCGAAATCATTAACCTCTCTTTGAGATTGGCCTACAGCACAATGCCTTTTAAGAAGAAGGATGAGCTTCGGTCACTTGGAGCTCGTAAGTCATTAACTGTAGTGGTCCTTAGGGAGATCAAAAAATAATCTCTGTGTAGAAAACCAAATTTTAAGCAATATTAAATTGCTAACTTTGAAATGCATGTTTGTCCATGCAAAGCCCTATTATTCTTTTGTTCCCTTGTTCATTTGTGGTTTTCTTGCTATTTGAATCTGTTCATTCTCCTTGATATATGTGGTGTGGTTTAAACAAAAATTCATGCATTGATTTAACAGTTGGTTGCTCACTTCTGTTGCCATTTTGTCTAACAGGGCTATTTACATCTCAAAATTGCTGAGTGTTACTTGTGCTTAAAAGAAAAAGGACAAGCGATTATTTACTTCCACAAAGGTGATGTGTACTCATGAAAATCAATAGTTCTGATGAAATTAGATTTCAGATGCATAACTTTGGAACTAACAGAATGTAGAAAACATTACCATTCTTCATAGGATCATAGCATTCTTGTTTAGAGAGGGAATGTGTTATCCAAATGGATAATATCAATGTGTGTGTATCATCTGCACATATGTTCTTCTCTATGAAATAAGTACTAATTCATGACAATATAACCTTGTCTGTTTTGTTAATAAATCAGTCCACTTTTTTAGACTAAGTGGGATAGATAGTCAATGTATTATATGCATCACTAGTATATTGGTCAATGTATTATATGCATCACTAGTATATTGGATGTTTGATCAGCCTGATGTTGGTGCAAAGGAATCATACAACACTTGGCTAACTCATGATGATGTCTTTTTATCCATTTTCATGCTTTATATGGTTAAAATAGTTATTATCTTGTTCAGAAAAATCTAATCTAGAATGTTCATCTACCTGTTCTTTAGTAGGCCTGAGATCCAGATCATCTGGGGTCTTATTTAAAATAATGCAACTGGTCCTGGCTAGCAGCATTCCTGGTGGTATTGTTCTTTGTTGCATAATGTACTATATCTTCAACACTGAGGGCTGGTCCCTTCAATTATTCAATAATTCTTTCCCTCGTTGCAATTTTATTGTTGTTCTCAGGTTGCTTTAATAGAGTTTTGTACATGAGATGCAGATATTGAACAATTCATTTAAATTTATACCATTAGAAAGGCCTATTTAATGTGCAAAAAGTTAATGTTTCAGGTTTGCTACATTTGGTTTTATTCTTTTTATTCTTGGTTATGACCCCTGTGGGAGTCTAATTTTATATGCTAATACTGACAGGCATCTTGAATTTGATCTATGTAGGAATTTTCCTTTTCTTTTTAGTGAAAGTTTCTCATAGACCACAGCTGAATCACATACATTAAATTGATTTTAGGTGACTAATACTATGCTACCACAATGTAAATTGTGCCTTGGAGTTCAATGAACAGTTTTATGTACTTTATGCTCTCATGCATTACAGTTTTAGGTGGATTCATTCTTTAGATGATGTTATTGAACTACTGCATATTCATTATCTTCAGAATTGTAGTTCTTGACACTTTCATGACAGGGAATTATCTGCATACTTGGCAAATAGATTTGAGATGATACTGTATATGATACGGATGCTGCTGTTTTGGGAGTGTTCATTGACCTGTGATTTTAATGAATGAATTCTTTGCATCTCCTAATTTCTTCTAGTAAGTTATCTCTGGTCTTTTGGCTGATTAGACTATCTGTTCAGCTGTGCATATGCTTGAGGATAACACTGATGCTCGGTTAAGTTTGGCTTCTCTCTTGCTTGAAGATGGTAAAGAAGATGAGGCCATTGCTTTGCTATCCCCTCCAAAATTGTTAGGTATCTTTGTTTTTCTTATATATGTATATATTTCAACCCCTTGTATTGAATTATATACATGTAAAATGTGTAGCTTTTTTCTTATTGGTTGTCTTGTGGCATGTATCCAGATTCTGTAGATCAAAATTCTGATAAATCTAATCCATGGTGGCTTACTGAAAAAATAATAATGAAGCTTTGCCACATTTATAGAGCTAAAGGAATGCCCAGAGACTTCATTGCTACAATCTTTCCCTTGGTTCATGAATCACTTTCTGTAGAAGCTCTAAGGCAAAAGGTCAGTTAGGCAAAAGTTCACTTTCAGCTGCCTTTCATTTGATTGAGCACATCCAATCTACGGTTACCTCTTTTGATAGTTCTGAATATCTTGTGACCATTATTATTAGTTAATCTTGTCTTTCATTAGCTTATTTTTTTATTTTGATAATTGGTTCTTAATTTAGGTTAAGGTAAAAAAGAGGCTACCAGCAAGCGTTGTCCATGAAAGGGCCAAAGTACTCGATACTCCACAAACTGATAACATACTGTGTGGAATCAGACCAGTAGCTCCTAAATCAGATCTGTGAGTAGTAAATCTTAATATGTTGTGTATTGTATTAAAATGGGCTGTATTCAGCTATTTTGGTGGTTTTGACTACAAATGTTTTATTTATTTATTTAATATGCTAACCTTATAGATGGTTTTTAGCATACATCATTAAAATATTCGTACAAAGACAATGGCTCTCTCTTTAACTTTTTAGGGATCATCTATGTTATATCTTGTGTCTTAATACCCTCAGGTTTCTAGTTATTGGCATAAAGACTAACTTCTATAGCATTCTTGTATTGAGGTTTAGTGGGCAGTTATTATTATTATTACTATTTTATTTTATCAGAAATCATTTTTATAATAGGAACCAAAGTAGTATATAAATGGAAAGAGAGAAGTACAAAAGTGGATTGGATATCCACTACGGTGCAGATCAGCTTCTCTGGAGGGAGGCAAAAACTGTACAAAATATATATCCAGAAATGTTGTATCAGCTGTGTAGATTTTTTTGTGATCCTTTAAATGGATCCTAACTTTTGTGGGCAACTTGTTTACTCTTCTGTAATTATCTTTCCAATCAATGATATTGACATTGTTTCTTCTAATAAAAACAAATAGTGAAACTCATTGAGGATTAGCCAATTGTTACATCTCAACAAGAGTCAAGAGCGAGAGGTTAATTGATTTTTTTATTAGTTGCCAATTTTTATCTACATCGGAGTTCTATCGTGAACTGTCAACTCTTCACTGTTAATTACAATAATATGTGGTCACTCATCCATTAATATGTGAGTTGTACGCTTCCTGTTTCCACTTTGTATCGTTGGTAGAAGATTGTCAGCTGATTCATAGTTGATGCTTTGAATAAGGTTGAAAGCTTCTAGAGCGAAGAAGTTGCTTCAGAAGAGGGCAATTTTGAAGGAAGAAAAGAAAGCTTTGGCAATGGCTGCTGGAGTTGAATGGCATAGCGATGATTCAGATGATGATTCTCCGGTAACTTATGATTGGTTATGTTTTGCCTTACCTTAAGTACACAAATTTTCCAACTGTGCAACATTTGGACCTGACAAACTGGTTATTATATGATTCTGGGATTTCTTCAGCAAGAAGTAGTTAGAGAGCCTCCCCTGCCTAATCTCTTAAAAGATGAAGAGCATCAATGTGTCATCATAGATGTTAGTATATCTGTGTCCTTTATTTCAATTCCTTGTGGTTAATCTTTCTTTTTTCTTATTTTGTTTTCAGTTCTTATTCTGCACGTATCCTTCCTTGATGTATGAGAGTATTTACTTTTTTAGCTCTTCTTCTTACTAAGTGCCTCACCTTTTCATGGCATTTTTACAGCTATATGCACTTTTCCAATCTTTTGATTCTTCTGACTCTTTAATCTTGTGGTTAATAGTTATGTAAGGCATTGGCAGCTCTTCGAAGATACAAGGAAGCATCCGAAATCATTAACCTCTCTTTGAGATTGGCCTACAACATAATGCCTTTTAAGAAGAAGGATGAGCTTCGGTCACTTGGAGCTCGTAAGTCATTAACTTCCAAGAATTTGTTAATTCTTTAGGAAGATTTCAGTGGCCTCCTCTGAGTTTTGGCTGACTGCAAATTCCACTGGTTTGACATTAACCATGCTTGTAGGAGAGGTTTTTTGATAACTCTTATGAAACTACAGGAAAATTTTACTGTAACTTTCTTAGATTATTTTTTTCACTAGTGAGGCCATCAGTATTTTAGCTATTCCTTAGGGGAGGTCACTGAAATTTATTGTAATTTCTTAGATTAGGTTTTTTTCCTTCTCACCTTCATTTAAAAAGATTGTTTAGTTTTTATTACTCCATTATATCTTCGTTGAAGGAAAAGATTGGAGGACCTTTGAGGCTTTGTTAATGTAGACTACTTTTTGTCTGTGATTCAACAGAAATGGCATATGACAGCACTGATCCTAAGCATGGATTTGACTGTGCAAGATACTTTGTTCAGCAGCATCCCTACAGTCTTGCTGCCTGGAACTGCTATTACGGAGTAATCTCCAGGTATACGATAATTTAGTATGCTATCTTGCAATAGCTTGTTGCATTTTTAAGTTATTATCAGCTTAATCAACGTACATCAATGGCTGTGTCTACTTGTCCTTGTGATCCGAGTCAAATGTTTTTGCATTTAGGAGTATTTGAGCAGTCATGGCAGTTTGTGTTGGGATGTTATGGACAAGTGCAAACACCTTAGGTGCATTTATTTTAATTGGACATGACTTAGCCTGCAAACTTAAAAATTTACTTAGGTGCATGCTGATTTTGAAATTAACTTCTACTTTTGTACTTTATTGATGGGTTTCCTTGAATGCCATAGATTGGGGAAAAGCCACTATAAGCATTCGAAGTTTCTACGCTATATGCGAGCCAAATACAAAGATTGTGCACCACCGCTTATCATTTCTGGGCATCACTTTACCTTCGCTAGCCATCATCAGGACGCTGCAAGAGATTATTTAGAAGCTTATAAACTGTTGCCTGAGAATCCATTGATTAATCTATGTGTGGGTATGTTCTTCCTTCCTCTAGAGGTTGCATACATGTTGATGATTACCAATGTTTTCCAACATATATATATGTATATTCTTTCTGCTGTAGGGACGGCCTTAATCAACTTAGCCCTTGGATTTAGACTTCAAAACAAGCATCAATGCCTCGCACAAGGCTTAGCTTTTCTCCACAAGAATTTGCAGCTTTGTGACAACAGCCAGGTTTGCTTTCCTTCTCTTATTCTCTTTCTATTGTTCTGAAGGATTCGGTAATTTTGTATTTGTTGAAGGAGTGTGAATCAAGTACATAAAACTTTACTGCCTGGCTTGAAAAGCATATCATTTTAGTTACTTAAGCATGTGTGTTCTTACCGTGTATATGACAACATCCATATTATCTTCATAGAATTGTAGACTCTTTCAGTCAAGGAGTCTGCATAATTGATGATTTGTTTCTGTTGATTATGACAAATTGAGCCTTTTTGTTGATTTATCGCATTTTCATCTGTTCCCTGTAATTCTGTTGGAATGAATTAATTATATGTTGCTGACTGAACCATAATCATATTTTTGGCCAAGTTTTATACTATCTTTCAGTAGCTAAAAATAAAAATAGAATTATGCCAATTGATCTTGCTCTATAATCTTTGCTCAGGAAGCTCTATACAACATTGCTCGAGCATGTCACCATGTTGGCCTGGTGTCTCTGGCAGCTTCATATTATGAAAAGGTACTTACAATCAAGGAAAAGGATTACCCCATCCCAAAACATCCAACTAAGAATCCAGACCGTACTCAAAATCAGGAATCAGGTTACTGTGATCTTCGCCGTGAGGCAGCTTTCAATCTGCACTTGATCTACAAAAAAAGTGGAGCAATTGATCTTGCCAGGCAGGTCTTGAAAGATCACTGCACGCTTTAGATTATTCTTCTGGAGACTCACTGCCAATGTTTGTGGTATGTTTACTGTTGTTAATAGTGTATTTTGTGCATATTAAGCTATATGGTTAGATTGTTTGGAGTAATTTTATGGGATTTTTTTTCTTATATTCTCTTTTTCGGTTAACATTACCGAACCAGTAATCTAGTAGTGCCCTTGTACTATAAAAAGAATTGAATAGATTTACCTTGTACTATAAAAAGAATTGAATAGATTTAAGTTAGTTTAAAATCTGATTAGATATAATTATTAACGATGCTATTTCTCTTTTGTATCTGATATTTGAATAGAATATTTTGTAATTTATTTTTCAAGGAAAGAAGTAGAATAATGCTCTTCAGTGTAAAAGTTTGTTTATTTATTTTCTATTTCCTTGTTTACAACTATCGGTCAATGTTAAAATATAACGATTTTGTCAAATTTTTCGCGTTATAAGATTGTAAAATTTTGTCGGTTAGTATTAGTTGATAGTAGTAAATGAGATTCTGAATTAAAATAATAAATAAATGCAAATATTTGCATGCTTAGAAGTAGTATAATTTACTTGGATGGATACCAAAAATTTTACACAATTAGTATTGAACTTGAGGCCATGAAACAAAATGATAATAAAATAAATAAGATTGTTGTTACTTTCCTGGAAGGCCGAATTAGATATACTCACCCAAGGTTTAGCCTAAATACGAACTGGTACCCTCTTTTTGAAAAAACATCAACGTTCCAGAAACTGTTCCCTGACGATATTGAAGCTCTCAAAACAAAGGCAAATGTTTTACTTTCATCTGAGTTTATAAAATGCCTTATTTGATTCAGTAATGCTATTTTAATTTGCTTTTAAGCTACCAGTGATGCATATCTAAATTGGCGAAATTTATCAAATATATATAATTTTTTACGCAAAAGCATGGTTGTTTGGCTCATATGACCATAGTTTCTGACTGAACTAATTGTCTATAGTGTTGTATATATCTAGAGAAATTCAATTAGTTCTTTGGCTTGCTGTTGTGCGTGAAATGTGACTTCGTCAATTCATTGTTTAGATTGATCAGCTGATTGACATGCTCATTGCTTAATAGTTTTCCAATTCTTGCATTATCATCATTGGTGACGGTAATGTTCTACTCATTTTGATGATATAAATTGCATCATTCTATCAATTCCTTGTTCACAATGATCACAGTTGGGGATGACATACTCATTGTTGAAAATGAAATCATATTGTTGTAGTTTTCCATTTCTTGTATTTCATTGTTGACGGTAATGTTCTAGTCATTTTCAATATGTGAATATTTGGTTGGAATTCTTTCTCTGATGATATAAATTGCGTCATTTTGTCAATCCCTTGTTCACATTGATCACAGCTGGGGTGGAAAGTAATGTTCTAGTTATTTTGAATATTTCGTTGTAATTCTCTCTGGTGATATAAATTGTGTCATTCTGTCAATGCCCTATGGAATTGATCACTGCTGACTTGTTGAAAATGAAATCACATTGTAATAGTTTTCTGTTTCGTGCGTTATAATTGTTGAAATAGCGTGATAGAATGTTGTAGTAATTTCAATTTGTGACTATTTTTCGTTAGAATTCTTTCTCTATGATATAAATTGTGTCATTCTGTCAATCCCTTGTTCAAATTGATCACAGCTGACGGGGGAGGTGACATACTTATTGTTGAAAATAAAATCATATAATAATATTTTTCCATTTCTTGCATTATCACCGTTGAAATATGGTGATATAATGTTCAAGTCAATGAAATAAAATATCATTGTTGAGACTAAAATCATATTGTAAACGAAATCCGAAGCTTTTTTTTTTTTTTTTGATGTATTTGGGCCATGTCTACATTCATGCATTTCATCATTCACGGGAAATCTTCTAGCCGTTTCAATTTGTGAATATGTCGCTGGAATTCTTTCTCAAATAATATATAAACTCCACTGAAAATGTGATTCTGTCAATCTCTTTGTTCACATTTGATTTACTGGTCGATTACTGAACAGTCTTTCAACATTTGTGAAGGAGTTTCCAATATCTAATGACAACTTGGTTGGAAAAGTAAGCGAAATTCATGACCTCTGTGTAGCACGTTAGAAAAGACGGCAGATTTTTATATATATATATGCATACACACGTGTGTGTGAAAGAAAGTTTCAAATTGGCGACGTGGTTGGAAAAGTAAGGGATTGTCGATTCTTAATGATAGCCTGTGTGTAGCAGGTGAGAAAAAGAGTATATATATATATATATATACAGCCACACACACTAATAATAATTCTTTAATTGGGACATTCAAATTCCGATATAATCGGAAATCGGAATACATGCATGACTGTCAGACTGTATATGGTTGTAAAATATCATTTTAATTTAATGTAATAAATCTGATGGTCAATATGTGCGGTTCTTGCAAAGTTATATATATATAATTATTCTCTTGTAAGAACGTCCTGAGACTTTAAATTTAAGACATTGGATTATGTTAATGGTTGGGATAGACTATTGGTATTACAATTGTACATAACTTTAGGGCCTATTTGATATAAAATTTTAAAATACAGTTTTTGTTTTTTGTTTTTTTAAATACAACAAATCTTATGAAAATACGTTTAATAAAAATGAGTTGAATTATTTTTAAAAACAGATTTTGAATATAATCCTAAAAATTATTGCAAAACTAGAAAACTGTTAAAAGCTGTTTCATAACTTTTAATCTAAAAATAATTTTGTATCATACATATTTTCAAATATAATTAAAAAATTGGAATCGTATTTTAGTTTTTGAAATTTATTTTTGAATCATAAATTAAATGTGTAAAGCAATTAATTAAAATTACAGAGTAGATTTGATTGAGATGTTTGATGATAGAGCATATAGCCGTCTATTATCATCACGTTTTTTATGTCGGCAATTTTTAATCACTTTTCAAACTGCATCCATCTACTATCTGATGTCTGCGTGGTTAAAATTTATTAGATAAAAAAGTCGTAACTTCTCAACATAAAAATACAAGTATTAAATAACCTCGTGGTAGGAAACCATATTGTTTATTTATATTACAAACGTATAGCATCTCATTCAAGTTACAAGAAAAGAAAGAAAGTAGATTTCTATATATGTATAAAGAATGTTTCAATATTGGGTTGTCATAAATCTTACGACAAAGTGGTTGGTAAAACATGTGACAAAAGACTGTAGATTTTTTATTTTTTTACAAAGTATATATACTAATAATAATTCTTTAATTAGGACATTATGATATAATTGAAATAAATTTAGAGTAATGCTACCGTCACTAAAAGATGTACATATAATTCATGTACCAAATGATGTGATAAAATCCTGACTGTCGATTAATATTAAAATTAATATTAATCGACGGTCAAGATTTCGTCACATCATTCGATGTACGAATTCGGTGCGCAATCTTCAATGACTGTATTATTTTCCATAAATTTATGATTGTGTATAGTTGTAAAATATCATTTTAGTCTAATGTAATAAATTTGATGGTGAATATAACATATGGTTATTACAAAATTATATATATAGAATTACTCTCTTATAAGGACAATATGAGACTTTAAATTTAGGACATTAAGGTTGATATTACAGTTTTACAAAATTTTAAGGCCCGTTTAATATAGAATTTAAATACAATTTTTCGTTTTTGAAAATAAAGGATACAACAAATCTTATGAGAATACGTTTTGTAAAAATAGGTAAAACTGTTTTGAAAAACCGTTTTCGAATACAATTTTTAAATTTTATATCATACACATTTTCAAATATTAAAATGTATTTAAATGTTTAAAGTAATTAATTAAAACAAATTACGAGTAGATTGAGATGTTTCATGATAAATTGACTAATCGAGCATATTCCAGTTTCAAACTAGCCGTCTATGTTCGTGTCGCTTTCAGGTCACCAAAGTTTACCCTGCAGCAGCAAATTGCTTTCTAACTTCATCCGCCAACCATCCTCAATATAATAAGCTTTTTCTCGACCTGATGGCAAACGTGGTTGAAAAGTAAAGAGACTAAACTCCTGACGTCTGTGTGGCTATAATTTATTAGAAGAGAAACTCATTACTCAAAAAAGTCTCAACTCTCTACTTATAAATACAACTAGTTAATGAGCTTGTAGTGTATCTACTGCAACTTACAAGAAAAGAAAGAAAAAATGGCTCATGCAGTATTTGAAGATCTTGATATTGTAATTGTTGGTGGAGGCATTTGTGGCCTTGCCACTGCCCTTGCTCTTCATAGGTATTTATTTCTCTTCTTATTTTCCTAACGTTATATCTACTCTGTTACACATGTTAAGTGGTGCTAAATAGTTGTCTTGATACTTAATGTTGTAGGAAGGGTATGAAGAGTGTGGTGTTGGAGAAATCAGAAGTATTAAGAGCATCAGGGGGTGCCATTGCAATTCAGCCTAATGGGTGGAGAGCTTTGGATGAACTTGGTGTTGCTTCAAAGCTCAGGACTAATGGCATCCTCCTTGAAAGGTATGCTTCGCAGTATTCATTACATGACAAAAGCTACCCCTCTGCTTTCTCCTCATCTCTTTACATAATTAACTTTGATTATTGTAAATACACAGGATACATGAAATATATCTCAATGGCGGCAAGCCAAAAGAAAAATTTGTCGACTACTCGTAAGTTTTAATTTATCATTACCATGCCTTTAATTAATGTTTGATTATAAATTTTTTATAAGAAAATGAAACTTAATCAACTGATCATATAATTTTAATATTAATTGGCAGGGACATTGGGGAAACTCGTTGGGTAAAAAGAAGTGATCTAATTGAATCTCTTGCTCAAGATCTCCCTCTTGGCACAGTACGAGTTGGATGCCAAATTTGCTCTGTGAAAATAGACGCAAACACTTCTTTCCCCACTCTTCAATTGAATGATGGCACTATAATTAGAGCCAAGGTATTTTATATTCTTCAATAATAATGAAGCTCTAAATAATTGCATATATTTCTGTTCTATATATGATACTGCCATAATGCATACCGACAACTAGTTAAATATAATATAATAATCATTCTCAAGGTCTATATCACAAAATTTTGCCTTCTAACATTAACCATTGCTGATAAATAAAATACCAGATTGTTGTTAATATATTTACGAATTAATAAAATATTTATCAAGTTGTTTTCGGACGGTTTATTTTAATGTTTAAAACTTAAAGGTAGGGAAATTTTTATTATTTCAGAACCTTAAGAGTCTAATTAGGAGTTATTTGATTGCAGATGTTGATTGGATGTGACGGAGCCAACTCTGTGGTTGCTGATTTTCTTGAATTGAATACCAAGAAGCTTCACCCTTCAAGTGGAGTGAGAGGATTTACATATTTTCCAAATGGCCATGGATTTGCCCCTGAGTTACTCCGAACTATTAGAGATAAAACTATGGCTGGGATAGCTCCGGTCAATGATAATCTGCTTTTCTGGTTCGTAAATCACCAATACAATTATCAGGGTATGTACTTATATATGTCTTTAATTATGCTTTTAAATATCGATTTGTTTAATGATAATTGTGTACCTTTTGATAAAAAAAATTATGTAGTATGGGTTTTTTTCTCTCTCCATTTTCATTATTGGATTGAAGATCAAGTAAAATAGAAATCCGACAAATTTTAGAGAGAATAGTGGTAAATAGGAAATTTTTTCATTTATTATATAAGCTTGTTTCATTAACTTTCTCAATCATTATTGTCTTATTAACTACAGATTCAAAGATGCTTGAAGATCCAAAGAAGATCAAACAAATGGTTCTAGAGACCATCAAGGGTTACCCTCAAAAAACGACAGATGTGATACAAAACTGTGACATTTCTTCCCTATCATTCAACCGTTTGAGATATCGTGCCCCATGGGACATATTACTAGGCCAGTATCGGAGAGGAACTGTGACGGTGGCCGGAGATTCGATGCATGCAATGACTCCGTTCGTCGGCCAGGGTGGGTCCGCCAGCATAGAAGATGCAGTTGTGTTGGCTAGATGCATGGCAAGAAAATTTCCAGCCAATTATAATAATGATCATAAAGATTTCAAAAGTAAGAAGATGATTGAAGAAGCAATTGATGAATATGTGAATGAGAGGAGAATCAGACTGGTTAAATTGGCTTTACAATCTTATCTTCTGGGTACATTAGTGGATACCCCTTATATGCTTGTGAAGTTGATAATGTTGGTGCTTTTGAGTGCCTTTTTTAGGGATAGGTATGCTCATGTTCGGTATAATTGTGGTAATCTCTGAGGACTTGTTGCTTTAAGAGCCAGCTAGCTAGCATAGCTTCAATGGTTGCACTTTATGGTAATTATTTGTAATAAATCACAGGCGTTGGTTACAACGTTGTGAAGATATTGGTATCTTTTTTGTAACTCCATTATTTATTATAATACTGTGAGGATACTAGCTGGTTTCATTTTTATAAGTTTATTGTTAAATGTTATAAGTCTATTATTGAGTTTCAGTAAAATTAGTGATAATTACATTGATAAAGCCATCGTAGTTGTAACAATTAAGATGTAACATTTTCTAATAACGGTCGGTGAAAGTCTATCTCTATCACTTCAGAATCATAACGATAAAATAATAACATCGGATAATAAACTTAACGAAAAATAACATTGAAATGTATTAATATCTTTTAAGAACAAAACATAAATTAGCTAAATGTGAGTCCCGTGTTTGTACACACACCCCCTTATGGATATCTACATGATCAAGAGTCATTATTCTCTACTTTTTTAAAAAAAATTGTAAGGTTCAACTAGAACTCCATTTTTTAACTTAAATTCCCAAAAGGATATGGATATTTTTGGATTATAGAAAAAATAATTAAATACATGCCCTATCACAACAAAACCTTTGAGATTTGTTCCCATGACAAAGATGTGTATTGAATCGACACTTTAGTCCTTGAGATTTGACCAAACTAGGGATATAAACGAGTCGAGTTAGACTGAGCTTTGGACTAATCGAGTTCGGCTCAGTTGCAACAGTTTAGAACTCGAGTTTGGTGAGCTTGCAAAATCGAGCTCGAGCTCTGAAAAATTTGCTCCCTATTAGTTTCGAAACTATCAAATATACCCTCATATTCTCTCTTTTTTAAAGTTTTTAAAAAGGCATTTTAAACTATTCCAACTTTGAAAAGAACGTCCTAGCTTTTTGTCCTTTATCTCTTTTTTTTATTTCTCCATCTTTTTTAATTTCTCTTTATCCTCTGGTTCTCTTTCTTCTTCCTTTTTCATCTTCTGTTTTCTTCCTTCTTCTCTTTCTCCTGTTCTATATATATTTTTTTTCTCTTCTATTAATTTCTTCTTCTTTTTCTTTATCTTCCTTTCTCTTTCTTTTTCTCTCTCTTCTCCTTTCTTTCCACCCTCCTTGGCTTGGACAACCGTTATCAGATGGAGCTTATCGGCGACTTGTTTGGCCGTCGCAAGGCTCTCATGCGACAACCGTAACTAGTCAACTGCTCAAAGGCCTTACGATGACTAGGTCTATTATTTTTCTTGATTTGTTTAAATTAATCGAATGAAAATCTTGTCAATATTGGATGCTGGATTTTGTTTGGTTGAAAAGAGTTGATCTTTGAATAATGGTTTAAAATTTTATATAACCCCCTATTAGTTTCAAAGCTATCAAATATACCCTCGAGCTCGCTGAAGCTCGCAGCCCTAGCAAGTTGAGTAGTGGCATGTTCGAACTCGACTTGATACTGTAGTCGAGCCGAGCCCGAGCGAGCGGCTCGGTTCGGCTTACACCCCTTCGCCAAACTCTAAAGCATGTTAGGTACAATAATATCTAAACGTAACACTTAGATTCGGATTAAGACGTTATCTTCCTATGAAGTATCCAACATTGACAGTTTGCTCCAAAACTATTGCATATTATACAAACACTTCCCTTGCCGTCAATTTCCACTGTTAAATCTAATTGTAGACCAATGTTGACCGAAAAAAAAAAAAAATGAGTTTAAGGAGATTTATAAATATCAATTAAATATCTTGTGAGTTCTAAGTTGTTTTTATAAACGCTACTTGATTTAGTCAAACCAAGCATGTCCAATTAACAAAATAATTCCACTAAACCTCCTTCATAAATACACATACACGTAAGTTAGCTATTACTCTTTTTCAAACTTTAATTATTTTTTTAACATTTTAGAAAATAATTTTTTCTTTATATACTAACATCACCATTGATCTTACTAAACACAAACACTTGTTAATTAACCCCAATTAAGAATTTTATTATTGAATGTTTTAAGTCCATCATTGATTTTCAGTAAAATTATTTTTTTGGGTAATCATGGTAATTGTATAAAAGAAAAAATAAATGAATAAATAAATTCACAGCCTAAAGGAAGGAAACCCTTCAAGCTACAAGCCTTGGACAGGCCGAAGGGTACCAACAAAAGAAGCACCTAAACCTACAAGACAAAAGCCGACCTCTCATAACTTTGCCAACCATTTCCCAGCCCAAGCGGTGAGAAGAACAACAAGACAAACATGCAACAGGAGATCCGAGAAAAACATAAACCCAAAGGTGTAAACACTAAACACTAGGTGACGAACTCTTGCCGAACTTGCTCAACACACGGGCCACTCAAGAGCATCTCCCAGGCCAGCCCAAAGTCAATGGTTTGTACACATACCCCCTCATGGATATCGACATGATCCAAAGTCATTACTTTTTGTTTTTGTTTCTAAAAAATTTCAAGGTTGGACGAGAATTCCAGTTTTGAACTTAGATTCTCAAACGGATATATTGTCAAAAATAGTAATTAAACTTGTTTATTATATATATGAAAATTCTCCAATGTGAACATCCTAAATTTTTTTGACGTCTTCGCCTTAATATCATTAACACCTCATAAAAATACAAAAAAGTTTTCTTGTCTATTTATTAAGATATTTTAATTAGGATATGTATACATAATACGATTTTATTAAGATACGGACAAAATACAATACATCTTTCCCTTGAAACTTAATTTCTAATACAGATATATAGTAGAACTTCTGTATAGTAATAATGTTGGGACCAATTAAATTTATTATTATAAGGAGATTATAATTAAATAGATGTGTAGTTACAAGAATTATTGTTTTGATTAAAAAATTACTGTTTTGATTTATTATTTTATAATTTATATTTTAGCAGTAGAAATGAATTGAGTAGTCAAATTCAACAATTTTACTACACTAATCAAATGGATATTAATGTCTTCCTCAATCATCCAAATGAGCAACAAGTTGTATATGTTTTAACTGAAGAAAAAATAATTACTGAAATTAGACAAAAAGAGGAAAGAGATAATCCTGAGGATGATAGCATAGAAATATCAAAAGTTTTCTGCCAAGAAGCTCTAAACATATTGGAGAAGCTAGAAATATTTTGGCTTTAACAAGAAGGTATCCATACTGGCGACTTATTACGTACTTACGAGATAAAAGATATGATAATAATTCTAAATCATAAATTATTATCTCAAACAATTTTACATAAATATTTTATTTCATTTTAAGCTTTAATGTCACATAATTTATATTTTTTTGCAATATACATATAATTATTACTATGTAGAGACAAATTTCTTAAGACGGGACCTAGAAAAATTATAACTTATTACAATGTAAAATTTATTTTTATTTATAACTTACCCAAGTTGGGACCAAAATTATCTAAAAGTTATTTTTATACTGAGTATCACTATAAAGAGGTTACACTGTAATAGTAAATAAAACAATTAATTCAAGCAATTACTTTCCAAAGTAACCGGACCTATGACACCGGAGAACACCGTGCCACCGGTACACAAACAAGATCATGAGCTCTAGGAGCGGTCAATCCTGGTCGTTCAGACATATCAACCAAATCATTACCCTTCATTTCCACTCCTTCAGGATTCACAACCTTCCAGTTGAAGCACTGGATCATCGCCTCCAGAGTCGTTGGCAACTCCTGCATGGCCAAATTGATTCCAGGGCACCCTCTTCTTCCAGTTCCGAATGGCAACAACTGATAGTTGAACCCTTTAACATCAATGTTAATTGCAGGGCCATCGCTCTCGTTTGGTTTCAGGAATCTCTCAGGATTGAACTTCATTGGATTACTCCAAACTTTGGGGTCTCTTCCGATCGACCAGATGTTATCGAACAATAGAGAGCCTTCAGGAATTGTGTAATTGCCGATTTGGCAATCTGCGATGGATTTCCTGGGGAGCATTGGGATTGGAGGGTGGAGCCTGAAGTTTTCTTTTATAATGGCTTGGAGATATGGCAGATTCGGAAGGTCGGATTGCTTGACTAGCCTCGCTTTTCCGACAACTTGGTCAATTTCTTCCTGAGCCTTTTCGAGTATGTTTGGATTGTTGATGAGCTCTGCCAATGCCCATTCGGCTGCCATTGCAGTTGTGTTTGTTGCAGCGGTAAGAAAATCCTGAAACAATAAATTACCGTCTAATTAATAAGTACTTTTACATGACTGTATTATAGTCACTGCCGATTTTTAGTTACACATAATAAAAATTCTTGGTTAAGAATATATGCAGAATGATTTCTAAAAAATAAAAGAAAATCAAAAGCAATATGATTGACACATATTAAAATTATTTTCTTCACTTTTTGTATTAGTGAATTGAAGTGAGAACAGACAAAAATATGTATGTGGTCAAGCATGTAGATTCACAGTAATGTTTGTACCAAATGAGGAAGTCATGACAAAAAGCTCCAAATTGATAATGCGGTATTCATTGAAGACACATCTGTAAAATGTTAAATGAACCGAAAGTACCACTAAAGTACATGAAATTCAACCATTGAATTTAATCAGGTTGATGTTAAGAATGGTGGGTGTGTTTGGTTAGTATTTTGGATGATTTTAGGGATAGTATTGGTTTATTGGATATGGGAGTATTACGAGATAAATTTAAAAATTTATAAAAAGCCCTTAGGTTTACTAATTTACATAAAGACCCTAACATGTAAAATGACAAAAAACCCCCCACCATCTGCAGTGTCAGATTCCGGCCCACACCGCCGGATCTGGCCGAAAATTTCTTTACGCACAGACTTGTCGGATCTGTGCCGTAACACGTCGTTATGGCCTTTTCCGGCTAGATCCATGGTGGATCTGGCCGGAAAGGCCAGATCTACCGTTTGTTTGGCCTCGACGCCGGAAAATGCCAAACGACGGCCATCTTTGGCCGTCAGCGACGGCCAAGATGTGGCCGTCGTTTTCGGTCCCGACGGCCAAGATTTGGCCGTCGTTGACCGTCAACGACGGCCATTTCTTTGGCCGTCGCTGACGGCCAGATCTGGCCTTTTCCGGCCAGATCCGTGGTGGATCTGGCCGGAAAAGGCCACAGCGGTGAACTTTCGGCCATTTCTGGTCGGAATTTTGGCCGTTGTACAGATTCCGGCTATCACCGACGGTGGTGGCCGGAATCTGACAAGTTGGGTTGATGGGGGTGTTTTTGTTAATTTTTAAACTTTTTTTTTAGGGGGTATTTAGTGAAATTAATAACTTTATGGGGTTAAAATGTAATTAAAAAAAATAGGGTAATATTTTGAGAATATTGTACCAAACGCTATTTGAAAAATAGGATCCAGAATAGGGATAAAAATATTACACCAAACGCAGCCGATAATATTTTTATGCTGTAGTGTTAGGATGTAATAGTGGACCTGGTTGACTGAGTTGACACAACTTACAGAAAGTCTAGTTTACGAGAGGATGTTAGGATGTAGTAGTTGACTTGGTTTGACTGAGTTGACTTAATGAGCTAAGTTCACTCATCACACTCAGCTCACTATTGTAGTAGAACTTGTTCACTCTGTCCACTCTATATATGTATCGAATTGTTTACTGCTGACTCGTTGAAAATGAAATCATATGTAATAGTTTTCCATTTCTTGCGTTATAATTGTTGAAATAGCGTGATAGAATGTTGTAGTAATTTCAATTTGTGACATATTTTTCGTTAGAATTCTTTCTTGCGTCATTTCTGTCAATCCCTTGTTCAAATTGATCACGGCTGAGGGGTGAGTTGACAATAAAATCATATTATAGTAGTTTTCCATTTCTTGCATTTATCACCGTTGAAATATGGTGATATAATGTTCAAGTCAATGATATAAATTATAAATATCATTGTTGAAAATAAAATCATATTGTAAACGAAATCTAAAGCTTTTTTTTTTTTGGAAATATTTGGGCCATTTCTATACATTCATGCATTTCATCATTCACGGGAAATCTTCTAGCCGTTTCAATTTGTGAATATGTCGTTGGAATTCTTTCTCAAATAATATAAACTCCACTGAAAATATGATTCTGTCAATCTCTTGTTCACATTGGATTTACTGGTCGATTACTCTTTGTTGAATATGAACAGTCTTTCAACATTTGTGAAGGATTTTTCAATATCTGACGACAACTTGGTTGGAAAAGTAAGCGATTTTCGATTCTTCATGACCTGTGTGTAGCAAGTTAGAAAAGACGGCAGATTTTTATGTACAATATATGTGTGTGTGTGTATGTGTGAAGGAAAGTTTCAATATTGGGTTTCGGGTTTTCACACATCTGATGGCGACGTGGTTGGAAGCGTAAGGGATTGTCGATTCTTATCTGATGGCGACGTGGTTGGAAGCGTAAGGGATTGTCGATTCTTAATAGCCTGTATGTAGCAGGTGAGACAAAGAGTGTATCAGTTATACACTCTTTTTATACAATAACCCTTACGCTTCCAACCACGTCGTCATCAGATGTGTGAAAAAATATTGAAACTTTCCTTCACACACACAAACACACATATGGTGAATCTAGCAGAGTATATTGAGGGTGGGCCATGTTTTAAAAAAAAAATATTTATATGTAATTTTTTTTTTCTTTTTATATCAATTTCAACTAAAAACATATAATATGAATATTATATGCTATTACATTTTATTTTAGCTCACTCCAACAAGAATTTCTAGATCCGTTATCGTATATATATATTGTTGATGCTTGATTTTGACACCAACTATTCGCACGTGTGAAATGCTAAAAGGAATTAGAAGTCACACGTGATATGAGGGGGGTCGAATGAAATAAAAGGGTAAAGAACAATGTTTAAAGTGGTTTGGATGCTCAAAAGTGAATCTTATGTCCACTGTTGTTGTATTAATAAAAGAGAGATCAGGTCGCGTTCAACAAGCTGAGTTACAATTTGGGTGAGAATACAAGAGAGAGAGAGAGAGAGAGAGAGAGAGAGAGAGAGAGAGCTAATTAAACTTAAAATTACCTAATCCCCCTAAACGAGAGGGAAGTCCTCTATTTATAGTGGGAGAGGAGAGTTCAAGGTAATGATTATAAAAGTTGCAAGTGGGTAGGTGCTGTGCAAATCTTTCTCTGTGTCTCATTGTTTACTTGCCCGAGGGATTTTCTCGACTAAAGCAGGGTTTTGACATGTGGGCGATCTCTAGCCGCTTGCTAGTCTGGCACCCACCTGTTGTACTAACAGAAGCCATGCCACTTGCGCTGGTTGCGACGTGGCCACACCTGGACGGCACATGACCCTTCTGAGTTCTGACCATACTTTACTGGTGAGGCTCCACGTCAGCCCTACCTTTTCAAGTATAACAGAAGTCCCTCAGTTTTTTAAGGTTTAAGGATTGAACCTTGAGAACTGCACAATTATGCCACGATTTGACATAACCTAATTGACACTTGGTCGATCCGACCTGGCTATGATGAGGTTGTAGAGAATTTTTCTACGAGTGACCTGAGATGGTCTTCTTCCATGAAGTCGACGACCTGGGTTAGACCCTGCTCAACACTGTATCGACACACCCTTCTTCTTAACCGAGGTCAGCGACCTAATTACACTTAGCATATTTCTGCTGGAGGCAAGGAATCACATCACTCCGCGATTGACATGCGATGAAGAGTGTTCTAATTTAATGACCTCTTCGGATATTATCCGTTGCGCTTTGGCAGCTAACCCATCAATGAAGCGTTCTTTGCTCTGACAAACGTGTCCTACGCATCATAAATGTCAGCCATGCGCATTAAATGTGAGCCATGCTGAAACGACATTCTTTATCAGAGTATTAAATGTGGATGAAGGCGCATTTAATGAGGAAGAAAAAATCGAGCCATCGCTTGTTTTTTCAATGGAAAGACGCAACGATCGAATTTCCTGAAGCGTGGCGGTTACTCTTTCTCGCTGATTGATGACACCTGGTCGCTATCAACGGCCAGAGTTGCTGCGTTCTGCCCAAACATCGCTTGGCCTCGGAAGAACCAATTGTCGTTTCCTCCACTATGAAACCCCAGGTTCACTTTGAGCAATGCCACAACACTCAAATTCTCAGAAAAAGGCAAGAAGTACTTGTGAGACCAGATTTCCAGTTTCCGAGTTGGTGCACATTCTCCGTTCAAAGCCACAAATCCAATCACCACAGTCAAAAGGGTAAGGAAGATCCTTCCATCATTTTCTTTTTTCTTATTTTAAGTGTAGATAACCAGTTGGCAATGGCGGTTTTCTGTAAAGAATTAGGGTTTTAGGATACAAATCGTTAGGGGTGGTCCCTAAGGGTTTTTAGGGTTTTTGTTTTTCACGTCATCGTACAAAACTCTTGTACAGAGACTGAGTAACTTCCACGTGTCCTCCCTTTTTCAGATCGAAGAAGAGATGGACCCTATAGCAACCAGAATGGGTGAGGGGACAAGCTCGCAAGCGTAGGACCCCCCAGCAGATCCAACACAAGAGATTCTATTGGTAGCTACCCGAGATGAAATACAGGAGGTAGTAGAGCAATACACAATTAGCGTAGATGTCTACCAATACCGGAAGCATACAGCTCGGAATTTGCTAGAGGGAATGGCTGCGATCTCCGAAAGCCATATTTAAGTGCGGAGCACTGATCCCCTTCCACCCTTTCATCAGGTCGATCCTCGATCACTTCGGGGTCGTACCTTTACAGTTGATGCCCAACGCGTATATGATAGCCATGGCTATGTATATCGCATGCGCCGAGAATGGCCTTAGTCAATTGACAGCGCTAGAGCTCACTTACTCGTATTACCTAAAGAAGAGCAAGGACAAAGACTTCTATTACCTCTCGAAGCAACCAACAATCGAGGGAGGCATTTACAATTACCCCAGCAACACCCGGGCATACGAGACAAAAATTTTCTTCTTTCATTATGATGGCATCTGCCAGTTCAGGGAACCGAGTAGGCCTTCCCTTTTTATACTTAGCGAATTTTTACTTCTTTTTGGCTTTGCTTTCTAACGACCTTCCTTGTCTCTTTGCAGTAAACAAGTCGACTAGGCTGACAGATTTTTCTGACATCAGCCAAATAGTTGCATTTGGTACCCTACTAGACTATTGTCACGATGTCAAACGACTCGTGACAACTGTGAACTTAAGGAAGTACGACTTCTTCAGCCTCAAAGTGACCTTGGAACCCCCACTTCGTAAATGTTCGTAGTCTCTTCAAGTTTTTGCTTTTGCATGTAGCAAAAATTCTTACTAACAGTATCTGCATGTAACGACCATGCTGTCTAGAGTACCGAAGAGAGCATTTGTCTTTCCCTGAGTTGGCGCCACGGGACCAGCTGAGGCAAGCTCTAGCAACCCTCCTACCAAAGGAACGCAGCCGGAGATGCAACCACTCACCGAACAACCAACCGAAGCCCCTCAGCCCGCGGCTACTCGCCTAAAGAAGAAAACTATGGGCCAAAAGACCAAAAAGAGAAGGGTGATGTAGCCCGAGGAGTCAAAGTCCGAGCCGGAGGGCTTGGGGGTGCAGCCAGAGAGGTTGCAGCCTTATCAGGTTGGTTGAACTGGAGGGAGCTGGAGGCGCGCTACCGGGGTTACAATTCTCCCGAGCCACTTGCATTAAGGACAGGTCGCTGCTGCCTGGAAGAAAGAAGGCAAGGGGCTAGCCAGCGAGGTACTCTTTGCTGATACCCTGGTGCTGGACTCCATGGGTAAGCTCTCGGAGCACCTGCAGCTAGTGGTATACACTCTTCTGGAGTGCCAGCTCGCCAAAGTTTTTGAAGAGCTTGTGGCCTCCAATCCTGCGGACCTGATGATTTGGGCCATCCAACAGCAAAGTCAGGTAAAACGGTTTATCCTCGTCGAGGACTTTTTCCATATTCTATTCCTTTCAAGGAAACTCTTAACACTTGCTTATTTCTCGTGCAGTCTTTGCTTGCTATGCACCTGGCCCAACAAAAGACCCAACTGGAATCTGTTAGAGAGCTCTTGAAGCTGAAGGAAGAGAATGACGCGTTGAAACAGGATTTGGCAACTGCGAAGGTAGAGATGGACCAGAATTTTCTCCTGATGAACCAATATATGTTGGAGAGAAGTTTTGCCCTCTACACAGTGGAATTCCAGAAGACCAAGCTGGGGAAGAGGGGAGAAGAGCTCGCTCAGCTTTAAAGGACAATGGCCAGACTCACCAGGGAGGCTGGCGAGAAAGATGCGGAGCTGTGAGCGAACTTTGAGCGAGCCCTGCAAGCAGAAGAAGAGAGAGCTCGATTGTGGGAAGCAACCGAGAAGCAGAGGAAAGCTCTTGAAGCGAACCTGGAAATATCCTAGGGGCGGGTCACTTCTCTAACTGTAGAGATGAAGTGACAAGAGCTGGAGATCAAGAGGAAGGCTGCTGACTGGTCAATCCAATCAATTTATGCCCTTAAGCCAAAGAACCCAACTATGGACCTTACAGACCTCCTGGATGATTACCAGAGGATCCTTGCCTCTATGGTGAAAGCCAATAATGAGGCAGCTCAGGAACTTGATCCGGAAGACGATCATCCGGAGGACCCAATAGTTGACCAAGAGGTCGGCGACCAGCTTGGAGATACCGAGGTCGAACCGGAAGTGCCTAAGGATGGAGACCAATGATCGCTTCTTCCTCTACTTGTCCTACAACTTAGCTTTCTCTTTGCGTAGCCCTCCTGTACTAAACAATTTATTAATGAAATTGATCGTTTTTTGAATTATGTGTGAGCAGTGGTGGATCCAATTAATGACTTGTGGGGACTACAGTCCCCACTCAACTTTTAAAAAAGTCCACATCTTATATTTATTTAAATTTTATGCTTATAGAATTATGAGATTTTGGGAACAGCCCCACGGTTAGTTTGGATTTTATTTTTGTAAAACCCTATTTTTAATCCTAGTATATATACAGTAAAACCTCTCTATAGTCATAATGGTGGGACTAACTAATTTTATTATTATGAGGAGGTTATAACTTAATGAAGGCATAGTTAAAAAAATTTCTTATTTCATAATTCATGTTTTAGTAGTACAATATTAGGATTTTAATTCATCTTTTAATAATATAAGATTTCAATTCAGCGCTTCAATTGCCTACTTTTGAAACAAATAGAAGATTGTGTTTTGAAAACAACAAAGATAATTGTCCTTGATAGAATTGTAAATGCAGTTGTTGCATGACAACTGATGTGAAGCCGCAGACAATTGCTAATTGTTTTAAGCATTACAAAATTAAGACCCCCGATGTTGATAAATTGCAAGTTACAAATGAAGTGAATAAGGGAATAAAAAAGTCATTATAGAATTGAATGATCAGATTCTACAACTTCACTACACTAATCGAATAAATATTAGTGTCTTCCTTAATCATCCAAATGAGTAACAAGTCATGTATGCTTTAACAAAAGAAGAAATCATTTCTACAATTAAACAAGAAGAGAAAGGAAATAATTTTGAGGATGATAATAGAGAAATACAAAAAGTTTCATGTCAAGAAGCTCTAAACATGCTTGAGAAGCTAGAAATGTTTTAGCTTTAACAAGAAAATGTCCATGCTAGCGACTAATGTACCCGTAAGTTAAAAGACGTGGTAACAACTCTAAAGCATAAATTATTGTCCCAAACAACTTCAGATAAATATTTTATTTCATCTTAAACCTTAAATTTAACATACCATATTTTTTTTTTGTAATATATAGATAATTATTACTATGTGGAGGCAACTTTCCTTAAGACGGGAATTAGAAAAATTACAACTTATTACAATGTGAAGTTTATTCTTATTTATAACTATCTCAAATTGGGAATATAATTTTTTATGACTATGTAGAGTTTATTCCTATATAGAGTATCACTGTAGAGAGGTTTTACTGTATTACATATTTTTTCTGATTTTTATTTTTATGCAAGGGCATCTGTTAGTTTTTAAAAGTTTTATTAGGAGTGAAAATGAAAGGAATAAGAATTGTTGGGTTTGCATTTAACTGAGGGGAGAAATCTGGGCTTTTTTACATCAGAAAGCTAATGTGGTAAGGTCATGGTGAGAATAAGAGAATCTTGGGGTAGTTTCATAATTCAAAGAAGTTGTTTTATATATAAACTGGGTTGTTCGCCAAAAATGAAGAAGAAGAGAGAAAAACCCATAAAGAAGAAAGGAAGAAGGAGCAAAGGAAAAGGAAAAGGAGAAGAGAGGGAAGAATGGGTTTGGTCAGTTTTATCTATTTGATTTTTTTGCACTTGAGTTAATGGTACTTGAGAACCAGGCTGAGATTTATGTTATTGACATATGTTCTTAT